TTAATTTTTCGACAGAAACATGATGACTTCTGGTTTAGTTGATGTGAAAGTCAGAGATCGAAAAAAATAGGTTGAACAGGACAAATTGGTTGAACCAGATTGATCAAATCATTAAATCAATCCCGGATTATTTTCTTCCCTTTTTGTTATTGATTTTAGACTATTCATGATTGTGATTCTTGTCTTAATTATGATGGTAGCCCAGTTACTCTCTAAATTTTTTAAGCCAGTTCATTATCAGAGAAAATATTTTAGAGGAGGCCCATGTCCAATATGGGGGGCACAAATTCCCTAGTTTCCATGTCATTTGTTCAGAAGTTGGAGAGATATTGGATCATCTCTTCTTGCAATCATGGCCTTTTCACTTTGGGGTGTGTTGGGCTTTAATATAATCTATTAATACTTTTAGATCAATGGCAGCCTTAGTCTCCCTTTCCTTCTATCCATTAGAGTGAAAAGGGAAAGTTTTCGGGAGTCCTCTGGGAATGCATAAGTCTTGATAGGACTAGGGCTTAATTCTAACTACAGCCCTAACTTTGTCCATCAAGTAACTGATTCTAGTTTCTTTATGCTCAATTGCTTTAGCCTACCTCACCACACAAGCTTTATAGGATATAATAAATCGAGCATTGATATAAGTTGACAACCTTGTTAGAAGCTCATTTCTAACAAGTTTTAGGAGTATTGAAAATCACATAGCAGGTATTGATACTAATCATGAAAGTATCTTTAACAAGTTGAACTACGTATTTTGCCCCACATCGAAGCATATGAGAAAATTGGTCGTTTTTAACCTCCCTATTCATCTTTATGATCATGAGTGAATTCTTAACAGGTGTTAACTTTATTTCTTCTACTCTGTTAGCAGACCAAAAATAGAAATACCAGTGATTTTCTGGTTACTCATTATGCAAGAAATGAAAGCTACCAACTCCTTTTTATCAATATTTTAAATTTGTATTTAGAGACTGCCGAGAGAAGCCTCAAATACCCATCTATTTTTTAAAAAGAAATACTAAAAATGCCCATTTTCTCTGCGGGGTCAAAACCCATTAAGACTGAAACTTGAAGCTCAAGGAAGCTACCTTGACAAGCTCACTTCTGAAAACAACATCGAGATTGATCATAAATTTCATGGAGCTTCTTCCCCAAAATCATCATCATGTATTGTTGAAGTATCTAGGATAAATGCAGATAAACTTCTCCCCGATTCAAAAGTCAATGAGAGTCTTCAAGTCCATTGGGTTCACAATAGGCTACAAGCACTTGATCCCATTTTGCAGCTCATGCCATTGGTTTCTAAGGACAGCATGGAATATAACCAACTAAAGATTCTGCAACCTTTGGTCATCTCTAAAGAAGATCAATATTTAGACTCCAACAATGACAATGGGTCTTGGTGGTCTATTTTGGCAAGTAAGTCTCCTACTTCAGCTCAAGAATCTGCCAATAATGTTATAAACTCAAGAGAAAATAGATACTCTCAAGGCTTGCACCATAATCAGCCAAGTCCAAATGGAAACTCTCAAGGTTTTCATCTTAAGCCAATAGGAGAGTCGTCTCTTCATGGCTTTGATATTTGGTCAGAGGTCCATAGTTCTTTGATTAGGAATCTTGCTAGTTATATGGAGGGCCATCTGTCTTTCCATTGGGGAGAAATTTTCTTTACTACTTGGATTAGATACCTAGTAGTTAGTACTTTACATAATGAATTTGGGGGAGATTTTAGGAACCAGTGTGATAATAAGTCCCAATGAAATGTCAATCGGAAAGAATTGACACGTTACTTTAATGTGCATTTATATGTAATATGATCACTTCTGGCTCAATAAGATGTATTGCCTAATTGTTTGCCTTCATTAGCATTTATTGTTGATCATAGTACACTTGCTCAGTGTATCCAAACTCACCTTAACCCTATATGTTTGACAAAAAATTGCAAAAAAAAATTGGGTCAAGGAAAATATGAGGACTATGGAGTCATGCATGACCTTGATCGGTTACATTGTTGACAACTAGACCATGACATAACTGCTGACCTACACAAAACCAAAGATTGGGAGGAGGGTATCGGAAATAAAAGCAAATAGAAGTCAGATTAAAACTGAATCATAAAGAGTTTGGGAAATGGTATTTGGGCTCTTTTTTATGCATTACAATTTACAAAGCTTGATGAAAATCCAAAAGTTAATGTTAGAATGAGTTGTTATGATGGATTTACAAACTATGTGGTTCTTCTTTTAAAAAGTTAGTTTTTGTGGTAGTTTACTCATCAAGTATGGTTGTTATCGCTAAAAGACAAACGATACTTTTGTTATTACATAATATTAAGGTTGAAATTTATACTATAGGATAAAGGAATTATACAAAAAGGGTTGCAATACATACTTTTCAAGATAACATTGTAGTTCAATGAAAAAAAAAAAAGACAATGTACTTCTTTGAAAATTTCAAATTTGCCATTATTTAAGAAGGAAAAGGTTTATATAATGGTGAGGCCCTAAACAATCAAATTAAGGTGTACCTCAAAAATTCACTAAAAGAGGTTGTGTCGATGCCTAAAGAAACTCAAACTGATCATCTCGACCTTAAGATGTATGGATATAAGAAAAAATGGATTTAAAAGTCTTAGAAATCGTGCATCTTGTGATACATTTTTTGTATCGTCAATTTTCAAGACTTTCAAGTGCTCATAGGTCTCCTTGATCTACACTATTTTTGAAGTTTTAAATTTTATAATTAGATATGAAAATGAATTTTCAGGCCATCACAAACGCTTCCAGTATTAAAACAACATCTTTTTACATTATTGAAGGTGCGGCTTACTTTGATTGTTTAGGACCTCGGCCTTATACAAACCACACCCATTTAATAGTTAAGTTACTTCCGTTAAACATATATTTAAACAAAAAATAATTATGTTTTAATTAATACATCCATCACAACCCTTCCAATGTTAACCTTTTCATTTATTTTTTTCCTTTTTTCTTGGGTGGAGGGGAGAGGGATTGTTACTTCGAGATGAATATATATAAATAAATTTTCAAATATTCCATAAATTTTCTACTTTTGGTCGTAGGAGTCCATCAATAACCTCACCTAGAATCTGTTTTCTTTCGTTTGAAAATTGGTAAAGCTACGAAGTTCATGGTATTTATTGTTTAATGCAGAGATTCCATGGTAAAATATCAATAAATTCTAATAATGATTTGGAGGGGAAAGTTGAATCCGACTTTATTAGTCACGAGTTAACAGTGCTTAGAGATAATGATAGATTTGAGTGTCGAGGAAGAAGTATATCGTATTGATTAATCTAAAGGTTTGTTTACAAAAACTATTGGTCTTTGTATTGATTTATGTTAGTTTTTAGACAGATGTAAGACTTAATTACTTGGTGTACGGGAAGGGTCAGGCTTTGTACGCGCACTTAGGGGTGGCAATGGGACGGGTATAGGTAGGCTACGGCTGGACCTTTTTCCGGACACGAAAATTTGGACCCGTTCCTGTACCCATTAGGTTTCGAGTCGACCCGTCGGGTCCCAAGTCTTATCGAATGCAATGCCACCTTATGACTATAAGTTTTGTTTTTTTTTTTTTTTCTGTCATTTTTTTACCATTATATACCCTATGATTATGAGTTTTTTTTTTTTTTTTTTTGTTCAATAATACTGTAAATGTTGTCAATATTGTGACGATATGAACATCTAGCACGCGCCTAAAAACACTTTTATATATCCTATTATCATGGGTACATTACGGGTTGGGTCCAAACGTATTTGGACCTGAAGTCCAAATTTAGACCCACAACCAGACCCGAAGTCGGGTATAACCGTTAAATATCGAGTCTACTCGGATCCATTGCCACCTGTGCGTGCACCGACCAAAATATTTAACAAAGAAAGAAAAAAAAAAATACCGTAGGAAACTTGAGTGATCTCGTAAAGTACTTTCCCATACAGAACAAAATTTTCCCTTCTGGTTCCCATCTTATCACTTACATGCCATAAATATTTTGGTCGGTGCCCGTACAATACTTGTCCCTATTGAACCCTCTTTTCCTTATTTATTGCATGGAAAAAAAAACTGATCCACATTACCAAAGAATAGTCAAGCCAATTGATGGATGGTGTTGGACTATTTTGCACCGTCCATCCATTGAGCAGACAGTGATGAAACGTAGAGCATAGTTCTCTATGATCATATGCCTCATAGAACACTTTGCCATATGCACATGCTACACATCATGGAGCAATTGAGCATCCACCTTCCACAATCAACCATGATATGTGAAGATCAACTGTAGCTCCCAATTATACAAGTGCAATCCGCACCATCCATCATTAACAATGAACGGCGGATGCCCAATGTACCCGGCATTTAAATGCATTGGGACCCATGTTTAAAAAGCTGACGATTCAGATTGGAATTGGCAAATCCAAATTGAAACGGGTAGATTCAAATTTGAAGCCGATATGACCAGTCTAGTTCCTGCAAAATAGTGGGAACTACAAACCGGCCAATTCTGAAAGTACCAATCATAAAACTGTTCTCATCTTTTAATTGTTATATTTTAATTCTCTTTGTTCTTGAAATTTTTTTTATTGGATGAGCCACTTCTGCCAAGTTCTCTAATAGAGCCCTTCTCACCTTTTATTTTTGTTTTTCAATTAAAATTTTTTTTTTTGCGAGTTCACCGTGCCATATCGTCGATCCAAACAGCCCATCTACCGATCTGATCCAGATCAGTTTCTATAAGAGAATAGAATCTGGGAATCAAACCTTTGAGAAAGACATAATGAGTGTGAAGAGAGAATATAGGTTTAGTAGGCCTCTCAAGCGTTCACGTGCCTTGAATGTGAACGTAAGACTTTGCAAAGATGAATTTTCCGCATCTCTTTCTCACTGCACCAATTTGAATCTGGAGCCCGCCACAACACCCACCAAATTTACTCAAAACAGGATCCATCGCCCCCTTTATTGCTTTCTTTTTTGCAGCAATCACCAACAGGAAGGATCCCTTTTTCCCCTCAAACCCAATTTTTACCCGAATCTCACTATTCATTTCTCTCACTTCGTACCAGAAGCGAAAACCCACCTTTTTTTTGAACCCCGTCGTCATCCATCCATGACCGCGAAGCGCGTGAGCTTGCCGACATCAATCAATTTACCCTCTCTCTCTCTCTCTCTCTCTGCACTATTAGCATAGAGCTTTCTCTCTACTTCCGAGTCCTTATCTGATTAACCATTCCGAGTCCATATCCGATTAACCGTTCCTATTCGATTTTGCGAACGCTTGTTAGACTCACTATTCGCTCTCGATATGTCGATTATAACCAAACTCTTCCCTTCACCACGCGAACTTTCAGCATGAACCCTCTCTGATCCCCTCTCCCCTCTCCCCTCCTCTCTCTCTCTCTACCATCCATGAAGATCCCTCTCTCTCTAGAAAACCAAGCAAGAAGCACCAAAGCTCCGACGTCCGGATGTTTTGCTGGAATTCTCCGACATCTAATCTGCTCAGGCAATTTCTCTCGGATTTCTGGTTGTAGAGAGAGAGGAGGAGTCGATGTCCATGACCAATGCCCCCCTTGCAAGACCACAAACACCCCCAATGTGGTCGCCAAGCTAATGGGTCTCGAGTCTATGCCGGAAAACCCAAGTTCAGGCAAAAACTTAGCTGGAAGTTTCGTTTCGGCCCCAAATTCTCTCTCCAGAAGCCGGTCGGTCAGTGCCATTAGTGACTGGTCTGAATTCCACACAGAGAAGCATCACCATACCAGGACGTGCTCTTTTAGAGAGTCCTTGACGTTTTTGCAGCAAGAAAATGGGGATTTTGTCCTTCTGAGCCTAAAAAGAGATGACGGTTTAGAGAGAGAAAGACACAAAAGCAACAAAAAGACCCTCGACGAAGAGGCGGTCGTCAAGAGGGAGAAGAAGTTGCAGAAAGCAAGGGAAGAACCCAAGGTACTCGTGAATAGAGAGAGTACTTTGCAGAGGAGGAAAAGAATTGAAGGAAATCAGGGGAATTCTCAGGTAAACGCCATGGACACTGAAGATTTGCAGTTAGAGATGAAACTGCAATCAGAGAAGAACAGGGAAAAGTGTAGAGAGAGGGTCAAGCCCCACTGTAAAGAATCTCCGGAAAGGAGAATTCACAGGTCTATCGAGACCCAGGATAGCTTCCAGCTGAGGAAGAAAGGAAAGGTAAAGACCCATGAACAAAGAAACCCGTCCGTTTCAAGAACAGAGAACAAATTCAGGAAGAGGGAGAAACAGAGGATCCAAACAAAAGTTAGAGAGAGAGAAAGCAGTTCCAACTCCGAGAATTCAAGCCCTGTTTCAGTCCTCGATCCACCTTTCGACGATGAATCATATTCCTCAAAAGATACCTCATTAACAGAATTTGGACCAGGTAAAATTTCTCACAACATATTCACTGTAATCAAATTTCTCCATCTCTCCTAAAAAAATCATCAGTATTCATACCATGATAAAGACCACCAAGTTTTCCTAAGGATAAAGGATTTAATATTATGTAATTTGATAATTTCGACTGTTCTCTTCTATAAGCTTACTTCTGCCTGTTATTAAAACTACAGAGCCATGGCAAATCCATCAAAGCTCGCTACCAGCTCAATCAGCACATCAAACTGCCGAGCCATGCTTCGAGCTTGACATAACGAGCCCTAATTTGAGAAGGCATGTTGTCATGGAATCTTGGGTCAATATTTGCAGGCTTTTGAGAGCTGAAGGTGAAAATACAAACTGGGTTTGGAGAGATATGGGGATCCAAACTCACTGGGGAAGAGAGAAGGAAGTAGAAGAAGTCCGAGTCGAAATTGCAGGGCTGATATTTGATCAGCTCATGGAAGAGGCAGCCATTGAATTTGCAGTGTGATAAACTGAAACTCCTGCTTAAAGTAGGGGAAAAAGAAGTGTAAATTTTCTACTGTTAACTAAGTCCAGAGATTATTAATTTTTAATTTCGTAATTATGCTCTTACAAATGTGTGACTAATTTAGGAGGGAAATATATCATACACCATTGCTGCATTGTGTATGGTGCACAGGAGCATCAACTGTCCCTTCCCGATAATAGACAATAGAGACTCGAGAGTAATTGTACAGTGTACTGCTATGAATGTTTGTCATCTGAAATCATTGGCGAGCATGAACGGTGGATGTTCTTATGATGCAAACTGTATGCTACATATTCCAAAAAAATAAATAATAATGCCAAGAACATATGACATAGCTAATCACATTACCCTTTCTCTAGCAACTAATCAGAATGCATTTTTAGAAAGGAAAAAGTTCAAAGATTTCACTAGAATAGCTTGTTTTGATTCTCAAGTATCTCCAAATTGGTCATCTCGAAATCCAAATGCATGTACATGACAAAAAAAATAGATTTCAAGTTTTGAAAATAGTGCATCTTGCAACACATTTTTGGACCGTCAATTTTTAATATTTTCAAGTTTTCATAGATATCTTTGATCTAACCTATTTTTTAGGTTTTAAATTTTATAATTAAAGATAAAAATATATTTTAAGGCTATCATAAATATTTTTAGTATTGAAACTAATTTTCCCAATACTATTTGAAGGTGCACTTTATTTTGATTGTTTAGAGCCTCGGTTCTATACAAACCGCACCCTTTTAAAAGAACCCTAAAAAGTCTAACAAAAAACCTCCAAAAAATAATAATAATAATAATAATAGTAATAGTAATAAAGAAGAAGAAGAAAGAAAGAAAAAAAAAAAAAGAAGAAGAAAAGAATAAAATAAAATAGAATAGAATGGGGTACTCTTTCCACAACCATTGTGGAGAAAGAGCCATGTCTTTCCTTTGGCATGTCCATTGTAGAACATGCAAAATACATCAAAGGTAAATTTTGAGTTGAAGATTAGGGATGTATTTTCATTCTATACCAAATTTGAAAGAGAGTCATCAAAATCTTTTAGTTGTTTTGAGCTAAGCATGTATTTTCAATGTTTATTGTTTAATATTTGTAGAGGAAAATATCTCTGTATATTTTTTATTTTTTATTTTTAAGTTTCATTTTTCAACAGACCCAATGTTTCAAAATATATCTTGCGTTATAAAGGTTCTAAGTATTACATCTTTTAACCCCCCAAAACCAATTTTATCTCATTTTTTGAGCCCAAACAAAAATTCAGAAAACATTTTATATATTCTTTTCTAAACCCCCTTCTCTCTTTTGCCATGTTATTCTCAAACCTCTCTTTTTTTTTTAATATTAAAAAATATATTTTTTCAAAATATATGTTTTCAATATAAAAAACAGGAAGATAAGGTTGAGAAGAAACACAAGAGGAGAGAGAAGGGGGCTTAGAAATAATGTTTTTTAAACTCTTATTTTTAGATGGGATAAAGTTAATTTAAGATGTTAGAAGATATAACATATGAGATCTTTATGTCGTAAGATATGTTTTGAAACCTTGGATTTATTGATAAATGAAATTTGAAAATATGATGTACGAAAGATATTTTCTCTGTCTATGATATGAGTGCTTATATAGAGCTCCAAACTAAAGAAGTTATTGCAGGCGACAATCTCTTGCTCTAGCAGCTCAACCTCGTCTGTGGATCTTATTTAACACGGCTTAAATAGTTTTGAAGATTAATTAAGTAGATGGGTGATATTAGTGGGAAATTAGGGTTTGAAGGTATTTGATTGTGGTGGGTTTTAGATTTCAAGGTTAGGGCTTGATTTTTGGTTTTGGGCCATGTATATTTGACGTGTAATTGCCAAGTTGCACCCCCTTTTCTGTCTTCATTTTGTTGTTGAAAGTTTGCTCTTTCATGGCATTTTCGCTTTTGTTGAAGGTTTCTATGTTGCACTTGAGTAGCTAAATTAACGATTTTAGAAAAAGTTTATCTAGAGCCTAGGTTTTATACAATCAAATTAGAGCTTACCTCAAAACTTTCACAGTTGTTTTGATGTCTAAATATCTTCAAATTGATCATGGATTTCGAGTTTGGAAATAGTTCATCTTGTAATGTATTTCTTGACAGTCAATTTTAAAGTTTTCATAGATCTACTCGATCTACACTATTTTTTAAGTAAATTTCATAATTAAAGTGAAAATATATTTTAAGGCTATCAAAAAGATTTCCAGCATTGAAACCACATTTCTCGACACTATTTGAAGGTGCGTTTTACTTTGATTTTTTAGAGTCTTGGTTCTATACAAACCTCACCTTTTAGTTAATGGGTGTGGCAACCTCAAATAATCAAACTAAGGCGCAAATCCAAATTTTATCATAAAATTTTGGTGTAAAAATTCTTAAGAGGTCTTGAGAAGAGTAATTTATGCACATACATAAATAAATAAAAAAAAAGGAAAATACGAAATGGCCCAAATTTGGGCAAAAATTATGTAGAAAGTCGGTCAACCCGTGTTTTTTCTCTTTTTCAAAATTTTGTTAGTACGGTAATGCCCAGTCCATAAGGTAGTCTGAGCATCCTCGGGTCGCCTTATTTCTTAGCAAACAAATGAGCTAACACAGTCAGAGAATGCCAACCTTGGACCGCCCTAAAGAGCACCAGAGAAGACAGTCCGAGAATGGATAGCTCGTACTATTCGAGGATGCCAACCTCAGACCAATTTGAAGAGCACCACAGAAGGAAGTCCGATGATGCTAATATCGGACCAATTGAGCCCAAACATTAGAGCACAACCCTACTATTGGAACAAGTCAAAAAACAAAAACAAAAAAATGTCGTCTAAGGATAGTATCCTCAGACCGAGGGGCAATTTTGAAAAGAATAAAAAACTTTGGTTGACCGAACTTCCGTGTAATTTTCACTCAAGATTGACTCATTAGCGTTTTTTTTTTTGTATGTAATTCACTCGAATCTATTTCAATCTCTAATTATAAAATCTTAATACTCGGAAAACGGTTCAAATCAAGTAGATCTATAAACACTTGAAAATTTTGAAAATGGACGGTCCATATAATATGTCGCAAGATGCACTATTTTTAAGTCTCAAAATCTTTTTTTCTTTTCATATTCATACAACTCAATGTTGAGATGATAAATTAGAGGTTTGCCCTTTGTCCTTGGTTAATTCATTCAAAGCTAACCATTTCCGGAAATTTTGGTTTAATATTTTAATGGTAAAGGAGAGCTGGCATTCATTTGTTTCATTTTCTCTATAATTTTTCATTTTAGAGTTTCATTGTTACTTTGTTATATCTGCAAATATCAACCATGAAGTTTAGTTACAATCTATGATAGTTTCTTTGGGGTTTAATTTGTTGCGCTGTCGAATATTGCAATTAGGATTTTCTCCGACTTCATGCTCTTTATGTCTTAACAATGAAGCTCAGTTGAATCTATGGATGAACTCACTTAGGATTTTGTTTCATCTTCTTCTTTTCTTTTTTTTCTTTTTTTTGTGTGTGATTTTGTTTCATGAAGCTCTGTTGTTTGTTTGTTTGTTTGTGGATCACTATCTTTTTTTTACTTGAATGCTTCAATATGGGTGTTATTTGGTTCCTTTGGTCAATAGTTCTTATATAATCAGGGTTTTGTTTACTTTCATGAAGTGTGTGGAGTAGCTCAATTAGGGTCTTGCCTACATTCATGGATTACTATTTTCTCTTTATGCAAAAAATCCAATTAGAATTTTATTTGCTGCCAATATAATTAGTATCTTCTATTTCTTGGGAAATTCGATATTTTTTTTTTTTTTCCATGTTTCTTCACCATCTTATTGGTCATATTAGCTTAAACCATTTTATATTATTTTTTTTTTTCTAAATAGAATGTTACGCTTTTAATTTTTCTGTTATGACAAATTTAAGGGTGTTCCTTCACAATTACAAAATTTAATTAGCCTAATATACAAAATTGAAACCTTTTCCTCTGGAATTAGGTTTGGTAAAGCCTATGAATTCAGGTTTCACATGAAGGAAGTTCATCATCCTGTTTGTAAATAAATATTATTTATATGGTAAAACAAATTGTAACAAGCTCCCTAATACATTAATAAATTGCATATTTTGTAGAAATCCCTTTGTAACTCGCTTGACACTGCAACTTATCATAAACTCACCCATTTACTAAACCTTATTTGATCCAATTGTAGCATCATTAAAGCTGAGCACTTGAAGCTTTAATATTAGATAATTTAATTAACCTAATGTACAAAATTTAAGATTTATCGTAAAATTAGGATTTCCAATTAGGGTTTCTCTAAATTTAGGGTTTTGCCTAAAATTAGGATATAGAAAGCTTGAAAGTATAACTTTATATGAAAACTCTTTCGTCTGTTACATTTTCTTTAAGGTGATAGTTTTACGTTATGTCCATCTGATTATGAATTAATCTTCTACATATTTAGCTGTTCACGAAGCCGGACCAACCTGGCTCTTCTAACTAGTTGGATCACCGACCAAAACCAAATCCGGTTCAATTGGTTCGGTTTAATTAAAAAATAAGTCCTTAGGGACAACTTGTTTTTAAATGTGATTTATGAAAATTCATCGAAATATTTTATAATTCTGATCAATTTTCATCCGTTCAACAAGTATAATGGTCGGCCAAAATGCTTATTGAACTAACAGGAACATTTTTCCAGTTGGGTACCTAGTCTAGTTTTGATAACACTTGCCATTACAACATTTGTGCTAAAAAAGTAAATTTTTTTCTCATTTTGCCCATGAATTCTCCCATAAATGATATAGATGTGATTACACCTTGCATTATTTCCCACTGAGTTGAAAAGTTGTTATCTTTATGAAAGATCAAAATAAGACAAGAACAAATAATATTACAATAAAAGCAATAATATAAAACAAGAACAAATAACATTATAATAATGCACTCTTTTTGGAGTAGGGCTTCGGTCCTCTTTCATCCCTGTTTTTTTTCTTTTTTGAAGTGTTAACAGTGGAAATGGAGAGTGTAACATTACGTTAGGCATCCGCCCCTTAATTTCTGATACCCAACCCCATTAATCTCCCTCTCTAACACCTCCCAGAAAGCTCATATGTTCTCTTTGATCTCCATCTTCTTCATTGGCCAATAAAAAGAAGTTTGATCATCTATCTCGCCCGAAATCCCTACCGAAATCTTCACGTCGTATGCTTCT